TTTCCCTTTTTATCTCACTAATTCCTTTGTCCCTGCAGCTGAAACAGCTCAGTTCTGCTCCCTGCTCCAGCTGGTTATGGAGCATCTCCCAGTTCCCATGTGCCTCTGGCCTTTTAGTGTTTCATCCTTCCACCTTTATTGAAAACCATTCAGTTCCACCCCTGCCATGGTCAGGGACACCTTCCACTGTCCCAGGCTGCTCCAAGCCCTGTCCATCCTGGCCTTGGACACTTCCAAGGATCCAAGGACAGCCACAGCTTCTCTGGTCAACTTGTTCCAGGTTTCCCCTGGGCTGGTTTGGTGTTTCACACCCTTATTCTCTGAGCAGTGATGATTTTTTTGGTGCTGTACAGAGCGCATTGTGTTTGCTCTCACCTGTGGCACAGTGAGTGTTACCAGATGGTTTGCTCAAAGCTGATTTTTTTTTTTAACACTTCTAGTAGTAGTAGCTTAGTGCTTGCTGCTCTTCTGCTGTATGTTTTTTAGCCAGGCAAAGTGCCAGCACGTCTGTCAGAGGAAAAACTCCTGGCTGGATCCTGGAGAACCAAACCTCGAATTCCCTCTGAAGGGAGAGAACTCAAGTCCCACAGGGGGGATTTTTCAGCATAGTGGTCCCATTTGGTAAATTAGTGACCAGTTTTAGAAGGAAAACTGGATGACTTTGGGAGCATCCCCTGGTATCCATAAGGAGGAGGGAGATGTGTTGCTGCACCAGCCCCTGGAGCTGGAGCTGAGCCATTCTCTGGACAGGGACACCAACCACAGCCCTGCAACTGCAGGACACCTGTGGGGTAAAAAAAATCCATGTTTTGGTAAGAGCCCCTGAAGGTCTTGATAAAAATCCCTTCATAGTTACCTACTCCAGGTAGACTTGCCTGAGTGTGGTGATTTAATGATTTAACCAAGTCTCTGCTGTGATTCTTGGGGTGTCCTGTGCAGGGCCAGGACTTGGATTCAGTGATGCTTTTGGTTCCTCCCCAGCTTTGGATATTCTACAATTCCAGAAGGAAAAGCAGTCACTTTGCAGTTTATTTGTTCCTCCCTTATCCTTGCTCATTCAATTGGAAAGATTTTGGGGTTTTGGTTTTTTCTTTTAGGACAGGGATCATCAGGTTACTCTTATGATACTTCCCTGATCCCAGCAACCATTCCTACCTCTGTTGCAATTCAGGTGGAATTGGAAGAGGTACAGTGGAGTGGCTCTGGTTTTTGTGAGGATGACTTGTTTCTTCACATAAATTCGATACAGCAAAGTGCAAGAGATTTGTGTCTCCTGCTCTTTATTTGGTTTACACACACCTCAGGGGGTTGTGTTTCCAGCAGCCTCTCTCTGCAGCCACCTATAACTCCACCTGTTTCATGCATCAGGGGGAGTTTAGGTGTGATATTAGGAATTAGAGAACAGAAACCAGCATTCCAGAGGAAGCAGATCACAGAAGCTCCCCTCACCCTTCTCCTCTTGTTTTGGGTTGCTGTGGGGCTGTGCCTGCCCCAGCAGGATCTCCCAGAGGAGAGCTCCAACCTTTTCAGAGGCAGCAGCTCTCTCCCAGAGGACTGTGGCAGATTGCAAACACTCTCAGCACAATCATACCAGCCCAATTAGCATAATGATGCTGCCTAATTTATGCACAAATTGCCCTAATTTATGTGTGTCGATACATATGATTAAACCAAGCACAGGTGGAACAAGGTTTGGTCTCACCCCGCCAATGAAGCACAAAGCTGCATCCATCCCAAAATGTGTGAAAGGTCCAAAATTCCTTCTTTCTATTACTGAAATATGGAGCTTTGTGTTGTTTTGCTCTGGCAGCATGAATGGGGTGCAGGGCAGGGCTAAACTCATGGCAGGAGGTAAGAGAATAAAGGATTCCTGGGCTGAGATTTGCATGGATTAAAGGCAGCTTTCATTTGCCTTGATACACTTGGGTTTCAGGTGGATTAACAGGCAGTGGGATTTGGGGCTGTCTAGCCAACAAATAATACCTGCCTTCCTGTTATTTTAATTATTTTAATAAGGGATGGAGGACTCTGGAACTGTGGGCCACCTTTGCCAACCCCTGATCTTGGGCATTTTTATGTGTAACCATTTTTGTGTATTTTTTACCATTAATATTCCTGAATAACAAAACTGCTGTTGTCATCTGAATTCCCAGAGCATTTTCTCAGCAGGGTTCTTCCAAAAAACCCCTCTCAGACTGTAACCTTGTATTCCTCATTTTAATAAAAGAAATCAGTGATTTTTTTCCATAGAATCACAAACTGGTTTGGGTTGGAAGGGATCTTAAAGATCATCTTGTTCCTATTAATCTGTCATGGTCTCCATTACCTGTGAAATTCTGTGATTTTCCTGCACTTAGCACCATCCAAAGCTGTGCTTGGAATCTGTCAGCCTTGTGAATGAAGGAATAAATTGACCATGAAAATATTGATAGCACATTTGCTTATGCCAACTTCCTGACTCGGTCCAATAAAATTTACTGCTTTGTTTAAATGCACAGAGCTAAGCAATACTCCCTCCCTAAATCCCAAACATTGTACCAGCTACTGGGAAGAAAATGAACTCTACCCCAAAAATTAACTCTCTCCCAGCCAAAACCAGGACAAGTTGGTCACAGCACCAAGCCTGTCTGAGTTGGAGAAGTTTTTGGACAACTCTCTCAGGCACAGGGTGGCATCCTTGGGGTGTTCTGCACAGGGTTAGGATTTGGACTCAGTGATTCTGATGGACAGCACCTAGAGAGGCTAAAACAGAGCTGGAGAGGGACTTTGGACAAGAGCATGGAGTGATGGGATGAGGGGGAATGAGCTTAAGCTGTAGAGAGTAGATTTGGATGGGATATTAGGAAGAAATCTTGGCTGTGAGAGTGATGAGACCCTGGCACAGGTTCCCCAGAGAGATTGTGGACTTCCCATCCCTGGAAATGTCCAAAGCCAGGTTGAACAGGTTTGGAGCAACCTGGAGTAGTGGAAGGTGTCCTTGCCCATGGCGGTGACACTGGACTTGATCATCTCCAACCCAAATCATTCCAGAATTCTGTGATTCTCTTGCACTTAGCATCATCCAAAGCTGTGTTTGGAATCTGCTTGATCATCTCCACAGGTCACTTCCAACCCAAACCATTCCATAATTCTGTGATTCTCTTGCACTTAGCACCATCCAAAGCTGTGCTTGGAAACTGTCAGCCTTGTGAATGAAGGAATAAATTGGCCATGAAAATATTGACAGCTCATTTGCTTATGCCAACTTCCTGACTCGGTCCAATAAAATTTAGGGCTTTGTTTAAATGTACAGAGCTAACCAAAGGATGGCAGGGCTTCACTCCCTCTGCACAGGGAGGAGAGGACAGGCTGAAGGCTGGACTGGATTTTTGTAGCCCTCAGACCCCTCTGCCTCAGGACAGCAGCTCTGGGAGGTGTTGGGAAACACTGGATCATAAGGAAGAAAATGCAAGTTGTATGTGGGAATACCAATGAGTCTGGCACATCTGGGGTCACTCATTTAGAGCCAGAACCAAAAGAAAGCCTCAGCTATTCCCCTAAAAAAGAAGAATCAGGAAAATAACCCAGCTCTCCTCCTCCCTGGCAGATCCAATGTCTTTTAATCTGCTCTGTCTCACAGCTTCTCTTACAGTGGAAGTTGCTGGTGGTCTGCTCGGGTTAAGCAGCAATTCTGGCAGACTTCACAGCAGACGTGATCTCCAGGTCTCGTTGCTTTGAAGCTCCCAGTTCTATCACACTCAGATAGAACTAAATCAGATTTTTTTCTCCTCAGTGGAGGCAGAAAATCAGCCCCGTGCGCCCATCTGATTGCAGTGCTGAGGCTTGTCTAATTGAACAAGTGCTCTAGTCAACACTTGAGCAGGATGGAAAACAATGAGGAGATCACCCAGGGATTATGTCTGAGCTCCACAGCTCCTGGCACCGACAGAGCAGATGGCTGGGTCGCATCCTGCCCAAGGCTGGGCAGGAAAGATGTCGATAGGAGGAAAAAATAAATTAATTTGGTTTAAATGTATTCAACTTGAGATCTACAAGTGCCTCAGGTCTCTAATTCTGTGCTTTATAGCAGCAGCCCAGAAGATGGGATTAGTTGGGGGTTGGCTCTGCAGATTCCTGCAAGGAGCCTCGCTGCTGCCTCAAAGCTGATGTGGGTAAAAAATATTTTGGGAAGGGGAACTGAGATGTGGGGAGTGGAGACAACTTGGCTGGTGCTGTAAAAGTGGGGGACAGCCAGGAGCAGTGTGGACATGGCAAGGGAACCGTGAGCCTCTGTGCTGATGGAACCAGGAGCCCAAACCCCAGAGCTGGTGGGGAGAGAGGTGGTCTGTGCAAGTGTGAGAACATCACAAACATCCCTGCAGGTCCCCAGCCTGTTCCTTGTAGGATCACACGTGATCCTACAGCCAGAGTCTGTATCCAGAGAGGTTTGGGCTTGGGGAAGTTGCTGGTGGCTGTCCCACAGATCTGTGGCCACCTGAAACCCTGGTGACCTCCATGTGGCTTTCTGTCCCCTTCCTTGGGGTGGGAGTGAATGAACACACAGAACTGATTTTCCCAATGCCCAAACTATGCTTTTGTCTGGGGAAATACACCCTCAGAAGAGCCCTCACTACAGCAGAAATTATCTATTTCCTCTAGCTCTGGACCCTCCTAAACTTTATTTGCTTTTACCCAAACAGCAGTGCATCTATCAGGCCAAGTTAGGAATATCAAAGTCCCTTCATCTGTAACTGCTCCTGCCCTGTAATTCCCTCCTGCCACCTCTTAAAAGCACTTTTAACCCTGGAAACTCCCAATTTTGCTTTCTGTACTTAGAATTCTGTTATTTTCATTTTTTCGAGTGTGTCCATAGCTTGAGCAATAATAAATAATTGCATTTTGCATCTGGTAAAATGTAATGGGATTGCCTTGCTGGCAGCAGTAAAAATGCTGTTTCCCTAAGATGTTGCTGTATTTTAACACTTTGGTTCTAAAAGCGTTTTTTGTTTGTTTGTTTTCAGGGGGCAGCACTGGAAGAACCTTTATGGGCTCCTAATGACGTGCAGGTGGACGATTGACTGATGATAATTAAGGTAGGAAGAGGTGCTGTTAATTTTGGCATCTTGTCATTTGTCCTGTCCTTGCAGTAAAATGGTTCTGGCCAGAACTCTATTTTGGGGTTCAGTACACAACCCTGGCTCTATGGCCAAGCAGTAACTTGTGCTAAAGTGTCCCTTTAAACGCAGATGGAAGGGAAATCTTATTTAAAAACTACCTGGGAATGTAACTAAGTGGAAAAAATCTGACTTCCTCCCCCAAAGGATAATAAGGTCTCTGTTGGTGCAGAGTTGGAAGGGACATGACTCTTATTTGAGAGCACTCAGCACAGGGATTTTTTTGTTCTTCTGAAACCCAGTGGTTGGGTTGGAGTTCAGGTTCTAACTTGCAATCTCAGAAAAAAAAGAAGAAAACTCAAACTAAAGATATATTTTATTAGTTTATTTTCATCATCTTGAGTGTCTGTGGAAAGCTGGTCTATCTCCAAATGTGGCAAGAGAGTGCTCAGTTCTTGATGGATGAAACAGAGGAAAATCCCTGATTTAAAAGGCAGTAAACTGTTATACAAACTTGGAGAAGAAAATACAAATGTGAGCAGAGTTAAATGGATTTATAAATAGTTTTTGTGCTGCTTTTATACCTGAATTCTTGCCTTGCTGGGTTGTTTCTGCCGTGGTGGTTGTGCTTGGAGGCAGCATCAGGAGTGTGAGATGGTCACTGCTGGTCTCTGCCTCCCCTTCCTGAGGCAAAGAGGGTCTCCACAGAGACTCCCAAATATCTACTGTAACAGAGGCTTTGCTTCCTCTCACAATTTGTGTTTTCACTTCTGATTAATGGGTTCAGTTAATGGCTGCTTGGTTTTTGGTGTCGGCGCAGAGTTGTTGGAAGGAGAGGGGGAAATTCAAGCTGCAACAAGAGCGAATTCTTTGAAGGCGGCTTTACCGTTCTCCAGCCTATTCCTGCTTTTTGTTTGGCTTGTGATAAGATGCACTGCTGTGGAATTTGCTTGGAGCAGGGATTTGCATGAATTATTGTTCCTTGCAACGTGCACATCTGTGCAAGCCCTCTCCCCATGCTGGTACCCCAGCACCCCTTTGGAGGAGGATTTGTGTGCCGGGGTGCAGCGGTCAGCAAAAGCCAAGTGCTTGGGGGAAGGAAGGCTCCAGTGATAAAACCAAAGTGCTGAAATAAGGGGAAAACTCCTCCAGGGCTGTGCAGCAGCATGGGGATTTGTGTGTTTATTCTGTGTGCTGACTTCTCATCCCAGCACGATTTTTGTAAAAGCAACATCCTCCTGCTAGGAAAAACTCAGTTGTGCTTGGCCTCTTGCAGAGTTCACTTTTTATTTAGGAGGTGTAATGGCATCAGTCACAGCTGCTGATTGATATAGCGTGGCCCAAAATTATGTACAAGATGGGAGTAAACAGGCAGTAAACAGTCGTTGGGGATGATCTCTTGATTCTGCACTTGGAGCTTTTCATTTGAAAAGTTTCCCCTTCTCCTAAAGAGATCTTTCTGTAAAATCACTAATTAAGCAAATGAGCTACAGTGACATCAGTCTGTTTCCAAAAAGAGCTGGTGTTTTGGAGAAACCTTCAAGCTGCAGACTCAAATTATCCAATATTTAAAATTATGGTGTCTTGCAGGAATAGAAAGAGCAAGGAAAGAATTACTGGAATTTTGGGTGACTTCAGGTTTCACATACAAAATCAAGTATTTTGTGTGATTCTGAATTTTACATTGATGCTAAATCTGGTGTCCTCACTAAATTTGACTAAATCTGATGGCATTAAAAAAATTTGCTTGCAATTCTCTTACTTCCTTTTTGTAGAGAGTAGAAAAGGTTGAGGCAAATACCTTGGGATGTTCACCTACAATACTTTGTGTAATGTATTTATTTTCTGAAAAATTGACTTTGATGGGGAAAATTGGGGGAACTTCTGCCCCCAGAGCATCAGGGGCAGGTGTGAGCAATGGGGCAGGTGGAGCATCAGTTTGTGAGCTCCTGTGTTGGGAAGAGCACCGGTGTGTGTTGAAAGCAATCAGAGCAAGGTGCTCAGTGTGATGGAGACGTGGCATTGTGTGGAGCTGTATTTGAGTGTGCAAAACACTCCCAGAGCTGCTCAAGGGGCAGAAACCATCAGGGTGTGGAGGGCACCTTGACACCACTGCAGTGCCAAAGGCCCTGGTTTTGAGAGTGGGAGCGCTAAAACCCCAGATCTTATTTCAGCAAAGCCCATCCAAAGCCATCCACAACCTCTGCACCATCCATATCCTCCTGCAGCTGTGTTGCCAGCAGTTTTTGGGGAGCTGGGAGCCACGCTGGTGTGGATTTGCAGAAGAGCTCGACACGTGTGGTTTCCTCCACCGGTTCCAGCAGCGCCGTCCCCGAGCTGTTGTTTTCGGTGCTGCCCACAATAACTGAAATGTCTTTCCTGAGAGATAAGTCAGTAATTGTGGTTGGCTCCTTCCTCTGGTGTTTGTTCTCTCAGTAACTTGAAAGTTCATTTATCACCAGGGTGCTGCTGGTGCTCCCCTCCAGGGGTACCCTCCAGCATGGTCCCACAGCCTCTCCCTCAAGGATTGCTCCTCAAAAAAGTGCCACAGCTTCATCTTCTCCCCAAGCCATGCAGTTATGACCAAACTTCATGAGATGAGGCGGAGGTGGTGGGTCAGGACTCACTCCAGCCCTGCGCTGCTTCATCCTGGTGGATTCTGCTTTGATTGGCCAAAGTGGTTTTTCCCCAACATAGATTTGCATTTTTGGGCAAAGCCACCACCAGCTGCAGTGCTTCTGAACCCTTTAAAGATTGCTGTCACGTTTTGGGGCTTGCCAATGTGCAGGCTGATCCTTGGAGTATGTTTTGGAAACACAGAGTTTGCCCAGAGACCATAAATCACAAGTGAATGGTGCTCCTAAATCCCACTGGCACTTCTCCCCACCTCTTTCCTGTGAAGCTTCAAGCTTCTACATGAAATTTGATCCTGCTGAGCTGAGCTGACCTGGCCTGCTGCATCCTAAAAAACACCCTGGGATTTGCAGGGACTGCTGCACAGAGTGCAAACCCTCATTCCCAGCACACACCTCCAGCTCTGGGTGCTTGGAACTGAGCATGGAACGGGGAGAGGAAGGAGAAAACTCCTTGCAGAAACCACTCCAGGCAGCGTGTCAGGACCTGCAGCCCCTACCTGGAGCTGCTGGGTATAAATAAACACATCCACCCTATTTCTGACAACTGCCTCCCTGAGGAGTAATTTATTTTTTTTTCCCAGTAGCTTGTTCTGCAAGCAGGTTTCCTCTTGCAGGTGATTAGGAAAACCTCATTTTTATGTTAATTAAGCATAACTATCAGCGCACAGACATCAACTGCTCTCACATCCTTCCGAGACTGCGATTTTTTATTGAAATTCAGTCCTGAAAAACCGATACAGGCAACTGATGTACCTGTTGCCTGAACAGATGGGAAACTGCACCAGAGGGCTGGTTGCCTCATAAATGTGTTGCCAGGGTGTAGCAAACACAGGTTCAGCTTTCAGGAGGGTTGCAGCTGCAGTCAGTTTAGGTTTTTCGTTGTGTTTGCTTGCTAAGTTTGAGGGCTTCCTCAACGACTTGTCTGCACTGAGATCAAGCCATGTTAATTTAGTTAATTGCAGCTAAGCACAGCTGCTGCTGACACTGGTGGGCCTGCACCTATGGGAGCAAATCTTTTTCATGTTGGTGTCTCCAGACACATCCCTGCTTTGATGGTATTTGGTCCAGTGGGAGGGTTGAGTTGATTCACATTTTCAATAAAACAAATCCTTCATTTTGGGCAGATTGGCTGCGCCATCCCTCAGAGTGCTGAAGGTTGGATGGGGTTTGGAGCAACCTGGTTTAGTGCAAAGTGTCTCTGCCCATGGCAGACTAAATTGTCTTTAAGATCCCTTCCAACAGAAAAGAAGAGGGAACTCAATCAGATGTGCTTTGGGTTTGGTGGTAAAACACAAGTGCAGCTGCTTTGGTGACATTTTTTCACAGTACCAAGCACTGGAGGTGCCAGAGGAGAACATCTGGTCCCAGCTGACACAAACCAAAATCCATGAAATTCTGGAGTTGCACCCAGTTGGAATTGCTCTGTCTTTCCCCAACACCACAAGGAGGTTTTAGGAACACATTTTCCAGCCAGCCACAGGTCAGCAGTGGGATTAGATCCAGGTCAGTTGCTAACACCATTAACTCCTCCTGCCTCCTTTTCCACAACTCAGTTCTTAAGGGTTTTGTAATCCAAATCCTTGAGGTTCCTTGCTGAAAGCTAAAACAAATACATCCATCTTATCAGGCCTGTCCAAGAGCAGAGCATGGAAATCCCCTGGCAGGCTGGCACCGTCGCCGGTGCTTTCCTCTCTCTGCACCAGCAGCTTCTCCTTCAGTATTGCTGCACAAATCTTCCCTGGATTATGCAACGATGAAGAAGAAAGAATGAAAAAAATAAAAAAAGGAATTTGGCAAGGCACACGTGGACCCCTCGCAGCTCCAGGTGGTGGTTGGGTGGGTTTGTGGTGCATTAAACACATGGATGTGGTGCAGAACTGCTGGTGCTTGGTCAGGAACCTGTTCCCTTTTCACACAGAGTCGTTCTGAGGGCAGGCAGATATCTGGGCTGGGGGTTTCTGTATGTGGATGTCCACAGGGAGATAAGGCAGGCTGGAAAAATTCATTATTTTGTGGATTTCCCAGGGATGTGATCCTTTAAATTTTTTATTTATTTATTTAATTTATTTATTTTTTTTTTAGGGTTGGAATTAAATGTGTTGAGATGGTGTTTTGTGTTTGGACTCAGATTTTTATTAATTTTTATTTACATCACAGTCTTAGAACTTTTGAGTTCTATAGTATTTTATTAACAATTTATAAAACGGTTTTGTATTTATCTTTATAAGGTTTTTTAAGGAAAAACTATTGAATGAAATGACACTTAAATTATTTTTACTTTTAATACTATTTAATAATTTAATATAAATTATTTTTCCTTTTAATTTTGAATAATTAATTACC